AGTTGCAGGAAAATCCCCATTTAAGTGCACGGCAAATTGGAGCAGAACTGATATATGCAGAACTCCTGTCCAAGGGGTTATTCACAAGCATAGGTACGATCCATATCACCTATGCTTGCATCAAGGTCTTCGTCCTCATGATTTCGCAGCTCGAATGGAGTTTTGTAGAATAATGCGAAATAAAGTGAGTGAAGACACTATTTTCCTGGATAAGGTTCTTTTTAACGATGAGACAACTTTTAACAGCATAGGTGTTGGGTGTTGTCAACAGGCATAACACGCACTTTACTGGGTTAGGCAAATAGATTTCCAAAATAAATGGAGCTTGAATGTTTGGGGAGGAGTTATTGGCAGACACGTTATCGGGTCTTTCTTTTTCGACAACAGATTAACAGATACAGAATACTTGAATTTCTTTATCGAACATTTGACTTTGCTTTTGGAGGATGTTAACCTGCAAACTCGGATGTATTTGGACATCTGGAGTAACAATACATTTTGGCCTCCTAGATCATCAGATATGACACCGATGGACTTCTTTCTATGAGCTACGTTAAGCAAGAGGCTTATAGCCCGGAAAACATGAAGGAAAGGATTAAGGATGCTTTTCTGAGCATAAGGGAACACATACTAAGGGATATGCAGAGACCAAAGACTACGGCTACATGGTGGAGATATTTTCGAACAGTTTTTGTAGATTAGGTCTTGAGTAGTGATAGTTGTTTGTTCACGTTGTTGTAATAGCTGTTTTTCTCTATTACGCTTGAAGCTGATCTATACTGTTCTGATTGTTATCAGTTTTTACGTCAAATGTGTACTCTTAGCTGCAATATGGAACTAGCCCACTGTTTGTCTTTTGTTTCCATGGATAATGTGATATTTTTCCTTAATTTTGGTGTGTTGAACTATTAAAAGCTTAATAACTCAAAATCTAGTGTTTTCATCTGAATCAAACCTTATAACAAAAAAAGCTTATAAAAAACTGAATCCAAACTTACACAAATATAGAGGGTGATGCATTAGAAATTTTTGAGAAAAAGTACAATTTGCGTTTTTGACCACCCTGTATGAGCAGAAATGAAAATTCGAAAAAGTATCAAATAAGATAAAAGCTGCGGTGTGTAAGTTTTTTTTGGTACAAAATCAGCACTCCAAATTTCAAAATGGCGGATTGAGGGGTTGCCGAAGTGGACGGTTTTTCTGGACAAAACATCTTACATCTCAGTAGCTAATTACCAACACCCAACACCCCATAGTATGTTATATCAATCTTCTTCTTTTGAATTGGTTTATCGAAATATGCAATAAAATTTGAGGAATTCGATTTAAAAAATCACAACTTTGATATGTAGGTCAAAATTGGGACACCCTGTATAATTGCCAAAATTTTAGAAATGTGACCTCAAATGTCATGCATGACGTGCCCTAAATAGATTTTCCTAAAATGTATTTGTTTATGAGTAATATTCCGTCGACACATGGATGGGCTACCCTGTATAAGATGTTCCATTTAAAAAATACTACAAATACTAACTTTATCCGATAGCACTTTTCTGAGACACCCTGTAAAAAAATGTTACATGAAAAACTCCATATTAGACCCTATAACTTTTGTATAAAACTTTTTCTTCTCGAAGGTCATATAAGAAAGTTGGAGGGGGTCAATTTATAGCCGTTACTCATGTTACTCATTTCCATCGGTATGCTGTTATTTAGCGTCTGTTGTTTGCCCTGTAATACTATCCGCTAGGTAGGTGGTTGGTGACAACTAGCCATTGTTGCCATTTACAGGCGTGTAATATTAGTTGTACTTTTCACCCGCTTCTCGCAAGAAATTGTGATCCCTCATATAATCATATCAACGAATAGACAGATAAACAATATAAAGTGATGTAAACATAAAATACCCAACAATCACGATTACATTACTTAATCGTTTATGCCCAAGAAGTAACAACATATTGTTTCTTAAAACAGTGGTGGATGCACAGGCCTTAATTATGCCTAAAAAACTTCAGCTTGAGACTGAAAACGTGAGAAATGCCCCTAATCAGCAAATTATTATGACACAACTAATTCCTTATATTTTCGAGTACCCGTATCAGTGGCGACGCGTGACTTTTCCTAAACTGTTACCAAAACCAGATGTGAAAAATCTTATTAAAAAAAGTTTATTTTGAATCTCCCAAATATAAGTTTTTGCTTTGAATTAAGGTGAACATTCCTGGACTGAGCGTCTGGGGCACTTGATATACCTCATCGTCTTATGCTATGACTAATACAAGCCGTCCGAAAAAACTGTCGACGTCTCTAGATATTCGGAAAATTGTTGATCTTTTTTGGCAATGAATGTTAACAATTCCCTGTAATTTCCTCTATTGTCAGAGTCATCCCGTTCAAAATGAACGGTAATTTCTGTTTTGCCAAAAACCATACGGTATCTAGAAGTGTGCTGCCTAAAAGCTTGGTTAAGACAACTCTCGATTCTTGTTTTGCCAAAATGAATTAAATTAGCCACACATCTCACATGTAAAGGAGCAATTTCATCTCTCCTCTTTAGAGCCCTAAAACTATTTAAATCGTTGACTCCGCTGCTGGTCCACCCTTTTTGTTCTGTATAAAACAGAAGACATCGCCAAAAATACAATTTGTTTTTTTGCAACCACATAACCAAGAGTTTCCATATACCAACTTAATTTAAAATATCAAACTACGTTTTTTTATTCGTTTTTAAAATCATCTAAAATAGGTCCATTTTCGCTGATCTCCTTTTTTCTTAAAAATTATACAAGGAGAATGACTTTTCAAGTAGTTGATCCATTACGCAGCGACACTCATCCATGTTTAATTTCACGCTCAGTACAGCCGGTAACCAATAGTGAGTAACCAAATCAAAAAATGGTAACAAGCCCACATAATAGTCGCAGCGCCCCACGCACTCGGGCGACCGCGATAAGACACGAGCCGGTACCGACAGTCCCCGACGGACTACCAAGTGTATCCATAAATGAAAATGGTAACAACCGATAACCAAGTCGAGGTGACTCCGCTTCATCGTGTTCGCAAAACCTAGACACTATAGGGAGCATTATTTTCGTGGGGCTAAGTTGCTATGTACTGAATTACTATTACATATTGCTGTTGGTAAACAAATAAATGAACTTATTTCACAGTACTTAGTCATAAAATATTTATTTTTAAGATTTTTAACTGTTACCAATGGTAACAAAGGTTACATGGACGATTCGCCACTGACCCGTATCTTCGTCGAACACGTTCAGCTGAAAAAACGACCGTCACTGCAACCAACAGCGCAGTTAAAGCAAACAAATCTAGAAAAAGTCAAGCAGCAATGATTTGCCGCCCCTATGACATTAAGAGGAGGGTGAATCTAGTCGCCTTCGCACTAGCAACAATGCCCGTGGGCGAAACAAATGCAAAACGTGCTCGGGCATCTAGTGGGACAGCTAATGAGCTAACGAGTCGACATTCAACCGTTTTCCATGCCTGGCTTGATCTCGGCTCCCGCACTGGTTCTGATTTATTATTACGGCCGGAACAGAAAGTCATTGTGACTTTTGGGGTTCGGGGTTGGCATTCAGCGGCCTTTTGGCATTTTTATTGTTGGCACACGTACCACCATTGTTCAGGTGACGACAATTGCGAACGATTAATTGTTTAAATGTGACCAACATGCGTTATCTTTTTTATTTATTTCCTGTTTCTTTGAACTGTGCAATTGTGCAACTGTGACACAAAATTGAGCAGTCGACCGCTGGAGCTTGCAGCAAATCTAGAGTAGTAAAATATGTACCACGAAATGACTGCCATGCTACGGATAATGACGATAATTGAGGATTGACGTTAATTGATGGGCATTGATGTGAATGCCCACTGTGGGTGGCCAATGTCAATATTCTCATTTTAACGTAGATACGTTGATGACCGACCATTGACTTCAATGGCCAAATGGGGTTAGGCAATGTAAATATAAGGACCTATGAATAAAACATAATTTAACGATGTTTTTAGTACCAGAAAACAACTAAAAAAAAAAGACAACAAGGTCGTAACAAACAATGTTAAAACCTGGAACCTAGAGCTGAACTCGGAGTCGTTGCTAATTAAATCTCAGCAAATCGGTTATGATATTCCTCAATGTTAAAAAACGATTTGCTGTCAACGTGTTTATTTTTTAAAATGACTTTGATGCTTCTCATAAATCGACGGTACATTTCACCAGAATTTCACACCGGTTTGAATGGTAAAATTAATTCAACCAGTACCTCTGTAACACAAAAAACCAAACCACTTATTGCATGTAACATGACCTTACTTTCTACTAAATCATTTTTGGCCGCTGCTTCGCGGGCATTCTCGTCATTTCCTTGCAAATGTTAACAGCGCATCTGTATAACGTTTTTATCAACATTGCTCAACTCGGATGGGCATTCACGTCGTTACCCTGCTATTAGCGTCAATTTGGTCAATTACAATGTGAATTCAACTTGTGGCATTCATAAACACTGACTTCCAGTAGTGGAGCTCGAGATATGCCTGGGGAAATGCCGATCATTTACATTTGCTTGTCAGTAGCATCCGGTTCGGTCAGTCATTTTCAAGATGTTGGACTTGCATGATTTCGGGTAATGCAACGTCTAGACATTTTTGTTACCTTATTCGATTGTCCATAATTGTATGTATTTCATCAAACGTTAGGCCCGAACTGCCATGCATTGGTGTGATGTACGGCCAATGCATGTAGTAGTACAAATATAGAAGTGGTGGGGAATCCTTACGTGGCAACTAGGCCCCCTTGATCCTTTTAACTACCCCTTATACCAATGTTTAGCGCTGTCCCAAAGGAAGAGTGTTGCTGCAGGCGCGGCGTCCCTTTAAATTGCCAAAGTCATAGTGTGAGTATCACTTCGAATAACGGGCTGGACAATGCCGTGCGATGTGTCCCGCTGCTTTCTTCCTTTTTGGTACTCGAGGATACCTACCTGCACTCTGGACTCCGGAAGATTAATCTTTAGCGCTACTTCTTCTCTCATAAATATATCTGGATATCTTGTTTTTCCAAATAGTGATTCCAGTACATCAAGTTGTGCTCTTGTGAAGGTTGTCCTTTCTCTCCTTTGTTTCCTTTGATTTCCTGGAAATAATATGTTTTATGACCATAATATATGTACTTTTTTGTTAAACAAACACAATAGAGCTAATTGTTTCTCGTTAGGCCCGTATCGTCAGTCGTCCCTACAATTGTAGGGCGCGTTTATATGGCCTCCTTGATTGTCATACTCTTCAAAAATTTCTAGATTATACTCGTCCCGTGTCAGCGTCAGCGCTCTCCTATTGTTAAGACATGTTTTCCTTTTAAATTGTAGCAAATTTCAGGCTGAAAAAACATGATAAAACTCTAAAGCAAGCACAATTTGATGCAAATAGATGTTTGTGACATAACCTCAAAATAGAGCGCTGACACGGAGAAGTAGAAAACTATGACAATCAAGGAGGCCATAAACGCGCCCTACAATTGTAGGGACGACTGACGATACGGGCCTTAGATAACAATAAGTGTACGTGGTGAATAGGTTTTAGCGGCATTGAGTTCCACATTCCAGCACACGGGCTCTTATATATTCTCGGGCGGTAAAATAATTTTAGTACCCGCCGTCCTTACATTAACCTAACGCCTATGTTCGTCGACCACGATAACTGTAGATATTCGAACCCGCGATCCCTCGGGTCGACTGATTAGCCGGTCGATGTCCTAACCGTTTAGCTGCCTAGCCCTCACCTGTTTCAACCAGCTGTTGCTTTAAATCAGCAAATTGGCCAAAGACCTAAAAGTGAAACAGCAAAGACCCCATAGTTTGTGAAAGATAAAACTAAACCGCCTAAATTCCAAGTAGCTGGTGGAATATTGGTTCTTTCACTATTTTCGTACAATCCTATCACTGGAAGTTGTTTCTTCCCTGTCAATTAAATTTTAGAAAATAATGATCGATTTGAACGTTTTGGTCTTTGAACGCATATCCACATATCACCTGAAATTTTCATATGGTGCATTGTTGGAACAATATTCAAAAAAAATATTTCAGCCTTTAATTACAAACACTATAACCGCTGTGATGTTCAATTTAGGGATTATCAAAATTTGTATTCATGAAGAACGTAATCACGTTTTACATTTTATTTATAATATGCAAATAGAGCGAATATGCGTTTACGATGTGAATTTTTAACTGGGAACAATTTATTTACCAGATATATCATAGCACCATCAAAGTGATACAAGAGGTGTTTGTAAAATCATATTTTTAAATATGTTTGTTCAAAAAATACGCTTTGATTCATATACTCGTATGCTTTGTGTTTGTTGTTTTCATAGAGGTTGTGCATGTTTCTATACTTTATTATCTGCTCGTAGAACGGATAGTAAAAATCGCCGTTTTAACGTTTACAAAAATTTCAATACCATTTGACCGGGTATAAAAAGTTCTCTCTCTCTCTCTCTCCTTCTTCTTCACATGATCTCGCTTATGAGAGACAATAAAACAATAGTTGCATGCTAACAAGATCTAGTACGATATGTTAATAGTTTTTTTATCACAACAAAATGGAAGAAAATCAGAAATGAATTAAGATGGATCCATCTTTGTTTTTTCTACTTAAGTATGTCAAACTCCTATCAGTAAGTAGGTAATGGTAATCACGTAGTAGTAATAGTAGTAGTAGTGGTGGTGGAGAGGCAAAGCCTAGCAACTAGGCCGCACTTTGTCGCTTTTTGCTGATCCATTAGTATCGACCCTGTACTACTACACAAGCCATCTAGTGGTAACTGATTGTTGAATACACCAGCTCCAGCGATAAGATGTACATATGGTTATTCTTGCACCGATCTGGTGTGTGATATAGACAACACACAACACGACATCTATGGCTCGGACTTAACCGATGCGGAGATTCGAACCCGCGAGCCTCAGGTCAAACGATTGCTAGCTTAGCGCGCTAACCACGGATCTGCCGAGGCCTCCAATCATATTATAACATAGTAGATTCTTCCTGTAATTTCTACACGAGCTTTTATGAGAAGCTTGATGTTTACCTATATCATTACAATTGTCACTAGAAGCTGATCTACAAAATTAAAAACCGGATCTTGAATGATATTGAAACATACCGCAGAATATGAAGAAAGTCTACCGTCAAGTTTTTGTGAAATTCAGGTAGATGACTATGAGGTTTCTATCATATTGACATTTTCTCGTAATGTTACGTTTTATACAATGTTTTTCAAAAAGTTCCCCCACCATACTTAATTCACCAAAAGGGTCAAGTTAACAAACTTAAATTAGGGACGATGAAATTAATGCATGAATTTAAAAACAATAGTTGAAAGTTGCAAAACGGCAGCTAGAAGCCATCTTGGAACAATTTTTTAAATACAATGGGGGATCGTGTGATACCTCATTTTGAGGTGCCTTTTCAGTACTTTATAGCCCAAGAATATAAATTTACTATCGTTAAAGTGGTGGACTGGACTTGTCACGTGCCAAAATCACGTAACCTTTTTTTACTATTTATCACTTATCCGTAATTCGAATTTCTCTTCGTTGATAATAGAGTGCCCATTCCTAGGCCAAACTCTTTTCAATGATTTTCTTTTGGCAAATTTAATAGTTTATTGCTTGTATAATTCCACTCGTGTTATATCATTCTTTCTCAGCGATTCAGTATGGTGTTGACGATCAGCAAAAAACTCTGTAGTTTTTCTCCGTTAGTTGGCATCCTATAAAATATATTTTCTTCAAAGCCACTCAAGATTCCTTCTTCTAGAACGTTACGTATTCTGCGTGATTCCCTTTTCTGTTTCCTTTGAGGTCGTGGTGCAGGGGTCGTTTCGTCGTTTTCCGGACTCTGGGATATTAGGCCCCACACAATGATAAATACTATCTGACGATTGGTCCAAGCAAAACAGTTGTCTAGTGGCGTGCAAATTTAGGTCCTAGCTCAATAAAGCGGAGAGTAGGGGGGGGGGGTCAAGAGCGCCAGTGACTTAGGACGGATTAAGCCACAACTCCCCTGGTTTGGTGGGCGTCTCAGTAACATCCTGACGATTCCAAACCCCTCTTTGCTACTGCGTTACACCTCAGCCCCGCTCAGTATAGCTTTCTGACGGATCGCCGGCAGTAACACATCACGGAACAGTTTGCCTTTCTTTTTCTCTTTGTTTGATCGAATCCTGGTGCCTTGAGTACCTTTCAGTCTGGTAGAACTATATCTTACCTCCATATAAGCGGTGGAAATATGGGTTACAATTCTTGTTATTGTTCTGTCCACCATCGGTTGGTCATGCCTGGCTTGGTGTACGGAGAGGTCTAATGGGGGCTCTGCCTTAGTTTCGGAATGAGATTGGTACACAAGGTTATCCTCAGGCCCAATAAGGATGACGCAATGCCAATTTATCTGGTCGCCCGACATCAGTAGATCAGTTTCCACTTCGAAAGTATTGCCAGTGTATCCATTGTTCTTCACTTGCTCCTTCTCGGCGTGATCTACCGGATTTCGTTTACTTAGGTCTAGAATATTTTTTTTTTGTTTTGGTGAATTTGGATATTCTCTTTCATTCTTGTTTCTATAGGTTATTGGTAGCTCAGCGTTATTAATTATCGTCCGTTATCTACACTGTACTACTCTACTCTACTCTAAGGAAAGGGGGCGTGCCAAAATCACGTAACCTTTTTTTTACTATTTATCACTTATCCGTAATTTAAATTTCTCTTCATTGCTAATAGCGTGCCCATTCCTAGGGCAAACCCTTTCCAATGATTTTCTTTTGGCAAATTTAATAGTTTATTGAGTGTATAATTTCACTCGTATCATATCTTTCTTTCTCAGCGAATTCAGTATGGTGTTGACGATCAGCAAACAACTCTGTAGTTTTTCTCCGTTAGTTGGCTTCCTATAAAACATATCTTCTTCAAAGCCACTCAAGATTCCTTCTTCTAGAACGTTATATATTCTGCGTGATTCGCTTTTCTGTTTCCGTTGAGGTCTTCGTGCAGGGGTCGTTTCGTTGTTTTCCGGACTCTGGGATATTAGGCCCCAAGCGCCCATTCATAGACTAGCACCCTTTTCTTTTTGTTGTGTAACTTAAGTTTAGTTATTTTGGTTTGGGTGCTACGTCTTCCATTTTTTTATGGGATTTTGACCCTCAGCCGTAAGTTCTTTTTTATTTTCCTTCGGACCGCGTGCCTTAATGCGTGTCCTGATGACGTTCGTTCAATATCTGCTTTCTTTTCATCAATAGAAACAGAAGAAAATCATCATCCTTTCTCCTCCAGTTAGCTGCATCGTTGCAGTTTTGCAAATTGGAAGTCCATCCCCTTGAAAACAAAACCCTGATGTGAACAGGTAAAATATCATTCTAATTAACAATTTCATAGATCTTTATACATTTATTATTGCTTATTGAAATTAACAATTTCATAGATCTTTATACATTTATTATTGCTTATTGAAATTCTTAGGGACTTCTTGATTTTATTGGACATTCTACGTATTCAAATATGGGAGCAGTGCCTACATGGCACCTTCTATTACATTGATCATGATTATGATTTTTGAGCTAAAATTACTTTTTAGAACAAGGGTATATTAGTTTAGTACATTTTTATCTGTTTTTTGACTTTGCTTTACTTTTCTTGGTCAAAAAAATGTACATGGTTTTGCTTTAAGTGCGATTGTTTTCAATTAGTAGTTTTATCTCAGCCAGAGAGTACACTAGATTTTTAAGCAGTCTTTCTCTCTCTAGGGTTTTTTAATACCATAATTTTTGGCAACGAGGCAAGCAGCCCCTGCCCAGAGATGTGCCCACTACTGGCCACTTTTTCTCCAGAGTCGAGGACATCTCGGCCACGCCTGACAAAGAAGATCTACAGATAAGTTTAGTATTTAGGCGCAAAATATCTGTAAATACTTCGGGCGTATACCATGGTAGACGTTTCGCGGGGTTATCTCGAAAAATAATTTTGTCAGGTCGAATTTGAGATTTATAACATCCTTTCTTTTTTTTATTACTCGCACTCCAGTGGTGGAGCACATTTGCGTTTTTTTTATTAATAAATATATTGTGATTCATTTGATATCTTGTTTATTTGGCTCTCTCTGTGTGTACTGTTACTTAAATTTCGTCTTCTTTGTTAGATTCTCCTTTTGTGTGGTGGTCAAGCAAAACAAGTCCCGACTAACATCTCGGGGAGTTGTGGCTTAATCCGTCCTAAGTCACTGGCGCTCTTAACCGCCTCCCCTACTCTCCGCTTTATTGAGCTAGTGCCTAAATATGCACGCCACTAGACAACTGTTCTGCTTGGACCAACCGTTAGATAGTATTTATCATTGTGTTTTGTTAATTAACCAAAAAAAGGCGTGGCAGACTTTCAAAGATTAGCATTTCTGCACATTGAACTTTTTGCATTAGTGTGAAGGAGATGGGTTTCAGAGAAAGAAATGCAATATTCAAAGTACGCAACAGTTACTTTGACAATGAATATTTTTTATCCAACATTCTAATGTAACTATACTATGTTTCGCTTTTTTATATCCTCGACGAAAAGAATGGTTACTTGAAAAGATGACGCACTGCGCCAATCTTAAATTTCTTCTATCATCCTAAGTTTGAGCTTGCTAGCTAGACCCGTTGAAAATTAAGTGTAAATAACTGTACGCACCTCCAGGACTACTAAAACTCCTGGAAAATTGGAAGTTTTAGATAGTTTTTGAAATGATAGTTTTGAAATGCTGCTGGAAATCTAATATACCCATGGTTTTCGGCATGTTCGATCGCTGGACATGAAAGCAAAGTAATTAGATACAGTCCGATTTCGTTGCTGCTAGGTATGTGGTGCGTAATAGGAGATCTGCGAAAAAATGTATACTAAGTAACATATAAATCCGAACACCCAGTTTAAATGGTTTTAATAAAAGTTGGTGAATGTATTTATCTTACTGTAAAAGTGAAAAAATTTCAGCCTTATCAGTTGGACATTCCGGTTTTTATACTGCTTTTTTTTAATTCACTAACGCTCTAAAAATGAATATTTCAGCCGCAGTAAAGAATCAACGTTGGCGGATTTTGGTTCTTGACATCCTTTACGATCGGTTACGATGCCTAGAGTACGGAGACCTGTACGATTTCGTCAACTTAGTGAGTTTGATAGGGGCCGTATAGTGGGACTTCGGGAAGCTGGACCTTCTTTTCGGGCAATTGCAGTTAGAGTGCAAAGAAGTGTAGACACTGTGGTTAGGTGTTGTCAGGCATGGCTTCGAGAAGGCCGTACGCAAAGAGCAAGGGACACTGGACGCCGCCGTAGAACAACAGACCGTGAAGATCGCCGCCTAAGATTATTGGCCTTAAGGGACCGTTTCTCCACTACCAGGACTGGTTTGCAGAACACGGAAGACCTATTGGCATGCGAAGTGTTTACCGACGAATGAGAAGTTTTGGCTTGTTTTCATACCGGCCACTGGGTCCTCCCTTTAACTCGAGAACACCGACGTAATCGCCTTGAGTGGTTCAGATAACGGTCACTCTGGGATCAGGAATGGAACAGTATTGTCTTTAGTGACGAGTCTCGATTTTGTTTAGGCTTGCACGATGGTCGGGCCAGGGTTAGAAGGCGACGTGGTGAAAGGAGGAATCCACAGTTTTTTGTTGAAAGACATGTTCATCACACTGTTGGAGTTATGGTTTGGGGTGCTATAGCTTATGGTTCCAGGTCACCTTTAATCTTCATCAGAGGTAACATGAACGCGCAGCGTTATAACCACGAAGTTCTAGAACCCCATCTTTTACCCTATCTTGACACCCTGGCAGATCCAACTTTCCAACAAGATAATGTCCGACCACATGTTGCAAGAGTCACAATAGACTTCTTTCAACATAATGATGTCACATTGTTACCATGGCCACCAAGATCCCCAATTGAGCACGTGTGGGATATGATGGGTAGGAGATTGCTCAATTTGCAACGTCCTCCTCAGACTCTAGAAGCACTTCGAGAGGAGTTGGTGGTTGCCTGGAATGAGATACCACAGGAGGACATTCACCACCTGATCAGAAGCATGCCTAGGCGCGTTGGAGAATGCGTAGCACATCAGGGTGCATCCACACATTATTAAAGGGCAAAGGGCTTTAAAGCAGTGCAATCATTTTGAAAGTTTTATCATTTACTTATTATGCTTCATTAAGTACTTATACAAAATTTTATTAAAATAAAACCATTTAAACTGGGTGTTCGGATTTATATGTCACTTAGTATGTTTAACTGTCGCGCTAGATTTAGCTATTGGTTATTGTTAAGATCCCCAAAGTCATTGTTCTTAATACAATTATCATCTATCACATATCTCAAATCTGTATAGTTTTATAGTTCTGGACTACGTGACATTTCAAGGGATTCCAAGAATTATTCAGACATTACAAAAAGTCAGGGGAAAAAGAAATATTCATAGCGCATTGATATAGATATAAAGACTTCATCAATATTCGAATATACAGAATTTCTTCAGCTGTTAGAGAATGGAAGGTGCTCGAAGTTGTGTAATGTTTTCGGTAGAGCAGAGATCAAGTGGTAGCATTTAGGGTTTCCAATCCGCGATCCCGGTTGATTTTTAGTCCCGAAACTCCCGGGATTGAGATATACCAGCTCTGTCACTACTAAGCCTAATTGTTAAATATCGACAAATTCAAAGAGACGTCATAAAACTCTTGACGTAATTAAAAAAGAACAGGGAGGAACAAGAGGTTTACATTTGCAACAGTGTTACGAATATCTACTGACCATACCACCTTCAAGTGTGGAAGCTGAAAGAGCCTTTTCTTCTGCAATCTCATTCGCGACCAAGGTTAGATCATGCTTAAGTGACTGAAGTTTAGATACATTGGTATATTCATGAGCATATTTTATTCTACTAAACAAAACGTAGGTGTTTGAGAGGCATTGGTTTTTGGTTTTTTAAATATTGTTACCTTATTTATTTACTTACATAAAATATGTAAATACAAAAAAACATCTTAGATTTTTGTGTTTTTCAAATCTTGTTTCCATTAGTCTGTGTCTGTATTCTTTATTTATTATTAGATGCTAACGCTAGATTAAAAAAATATTATTGGGATTGATCCCGGGATTTGATTTTTTAACCCGGGATTTCAAAACGGGATTCCGATCCCGAAAATTGGAAACCCTAGTAGCATTGCAGGTATTCAGTCCATAAGGTTCGTTAAAGGTAATCGATTGATGACCATTGATATTTATTTAACAATACTCTAAAACAAAAATGAAAATTGTACGTACCTCCTGGATAACCACCCATGGACGTGTGCAGTGAGTCAACAGGCAGTCCATGTAGACCTAAACCTGGTACCGGATATGGTGTTGACTTCAAGTAGGCCATACCTGAAGTACTTCCACCGCAACCGCTTCCAAAGCCAGGAAAAGAAAGGTCGCCATCTGGGCTGCATCTGCAAAGAAACATTTTCTAACACATATTGTGCAAAGCAAACAAAAGATTTTCCTTGCGCGTTCAACACACCACTTTTTAATGTTTGCTTTTTGAATTGAGATCTAATCCTCCGGAGGTTCACGAACATTATATTTTTTTGCAGTAATAAGAGCTATGACAAATAACTGAATCTCTTATGTAAAACTAAGATCACAAGAGAGTATATATTCCTAAACATGGCACAATCCTTGTTTCTAGATAATATCACATGGGGATTTTTAGTTGGACGAATCATGTTTCCTAGAAGCAATAAAATTATTTCATTCCAGACGATAGAATCAGACATAATTCTAAAGCATTTTCTTTCTAATTATCAGTCAAATGATTTTTTGCATTAAGAATGTTGGACCAGAAGAACTTGCAACACTCTAATTTCAAGTTGTTCCACGAGCTAATAGGTTGACTTTCCATGCGGCGGCGGAGGCAGAGTAAAGAAATGGTTTATCTTGCACCATTCGGATTTTCATGAGATTAGTATCTACATTGCTGGCAAAGACGAAAACGCTGTATGTTCTTCTAATCTGATATAGATATCTGATCTAGTTGGCTGCCATTTTGAAGAAAACCACTTCAGGGAGCTTATGAGCCAGGAAGCATTGTCATCATTTTTCCTTCATGACTAGTGGTAGAGCGTACTTCACCTTGATTCTTACTTCATGTCCAGGTACATTTTTTCACAGTTCCTCTTCTTCTTGGCACTGCCTCGTCTATATTGTGTCGTTCTATTCAGCATATTTAGGGACTCTCGATACGCTTCTAGCCTCTGTATTATATCTTCATACGATTTCGATACCTCCACGTTATGACTTTGAAAATGTGTCTGGTTCTGTTGTGAGCTGCTTTGGCTCTGACAATTGAAATTCTTATTTGTTGCACAGCCGATGATCTGAACGCACAAGATCCTGGATTCTGTCTATATTTTCATCCGTTATAGAAGATGAAGGCCCTCCGCTTTGTGGTTCACTTCAATCGACTCTCCTCTTCTGAGAATGACTTAAGCCACCGAAAAATCTAGACTCTTCACAAAACACTATCTCCATAGGCCTGCCAAGAGTGTTCGTTGCACTGTGATTAAGTCTGACGCAAAACCTGATAGCACACCGTTGCTCGAAATTGATGTCATTCATTAATTTTATAACACAATACGAAAAAAAGTCTTTCACAAAAAAAAAATCTCTACGAACAACCAAATGACTCGAGGGAGTTCAAACTTGTACTGGAGGCGGATTAAATGTTCCCCTGTCTTCGCTCCAAGCCCCGTGCCACCAGTATTGCCAGATTGAACGCTACAATGCCAGTCTCATCACTTAATTTTCAGATCTCGTAGAATACAATTAGTAAACCATAACGATTACGATCAGTAGAATGGTTTGTCTCCTAAATCATCGATTTTTCTTTTACATAAGACTGAATTACTATAAACGGATTGTCCCATATATACAGGGTGTTCATTTGAAAACTTCCTACCGCGGATTTATCTAAAACCACTGATTAAAAGAAAAAACGCCGAGATACGACAAAAGATTTGTCAAGGGGATACTTTTTAACCAAAAACTACTTCACCTCCGTTCACCCTCTGCCCCCCAGGGTCATCCCCTTATAAATTTTAAATGGCAAGGGGTATCGAGTAATAATTCTTGTTCAGATAGAAAACATCTTTTGACGTGTCTCAGCGTTTTTTTTAACCAGTGGTTTTCGCTAAATCCGTGTTGGGAAGTTCAAAGTTATATGTAATGAACTATACTTTCGTTTATATAACCGGGATCATTATGCCTGAGGTTTTTTTTTTTGGTTAGAACGAATGTTCCCTTCTCTTCGGATATTTCTACATAAAAGATGTAGATGTGTCCTCGGGACCAGTTCCTGTCGTTGTTTTTATAATTAGTTGGATTTAACGTCTGCTGAAAAATTATAAAAACGGGACTTAAGCCACTTATGTCCGAGACAACGTCGTAATGCTGAAAAGGGTTTTATAACGTTGCGACGTCTCTCGGCTAACGAAAAAAGGTACCTGAACGTTGACAAAGACAGTGGCGGACACGATTGACAAAAGGACTGGCAGCGACATAGTGTCAAATCTTCATAGAAAATTACTCAGATATTCTTAGAGTGAGGAATCTCAAGGGTAACTGCAGACTGAAAGGTCGTCTCTCGGAGTAGGTGTCTTAGTAGCCTAGCTATGTCACCTCACCTATATTTTTACCCTTTCTTGGACCAATTCCCAATAATTGTTAATGATCTTGTATAATAAAAGGATACGTGATCTTTGGTGTAGTAGAACATATGCGCCTATATCCGAGTTCCATTAGTCGATTCTGCACTTTACAAAATATTTAAGAAAATATAAAAAAACAGATTTTTCCATTAATGTGAAAGCAATTCAAATCGGTAATACTTCTCATTGGAAGTTTTTTTATATGTCTCGATTCTGGACACCAAAAACTGCTGTCCATTTTAATAAGTAGTATTTTTTTCAAAAATTACAACTATGAGATACAAATGTATGGCGGGGTGCTATTTTTTGTACTAGCACATTTCGAAAAATATCTGACACTTGACATATGGGTTATTTCTCTTTATGGATTGGTCAACTGTTCTTGTCAAGCATTTTTATGTATCCGTGAATTGCAAGTTCTATTTTTTGTTATACTCGTATTTAATGCTTAACAGGCAATCTTGCAAATATATTTTGGAAAACATTCGACACTGGAAACATATTAGTATCTAGAGGGGCATCATAATCTGTTCTAATCCGAGGGGACTACCTTGACGTTTCTTTTGTATATGGGGATTAGGTCGTCTCTCTGCTGTCTGCCATCACTTTGAGAAATATGTTGAAATTCGATTCTATCATCGCGACCAACAACGGACTACTTATCAAATACACTGAGATAAAGTTAGTGTTACCCTATGATGTGGAAAAGTAATATTTCTCCATGTTTCTCTGGCCGATAAATGAGGCCACAAGTGTTAGAAAAATACTTTGCTGGCATTTCGACCACCTTAGGGGACTTTTTCAAAGTGCAACTCTGGTAGCGAACTACAAAAATAATATTATCTTATAGCTTTGGATCTTAATTCAAAAGTATGTGATTATTGATTAAAGGATTGTTTTATAAAAACAGGAGCCATTTCCAAATATTTTTTCTAAACGGCAGAAAGCAAAAGAAAACAAAACTTTCCAAATATCGTTTTCCGTGTTTTGTGGACCTCGTTCGAATACGGTCTAAGATTACTAATTATGTTAGGGTGTAGGCAAAAATTTCCTTATATGGCTTGATTTTTTTTTGACGTCATACACTTCGTATAACATTTTTCAAGTTTTTCCAATAGTGATGTAATCATGAATATAGTTAAGTGAGAATGTTTATCAGTTTGTTGAAAATCACTCTATAATCTTTACATCATTCGCAATAAGCTTTTGAAACATTTGCAATACAACCAGCGAATTAGGACGTCGAATAGAATGCCTTTTCTGAAAGATTGTGCTGCGTCTTTCTTTTTATATGTGTAGCGATCGTCTATAGCCAGTGTTTGTAACCATACACCAAAACTTTCGATGTCGTTCCTATGACTCGTCAGTGCCTCTGGGGATTATCAGCCGTTTTTTCATCTACTTACCTTTGTATTTGACGTGTCATGTTATGGCTATTGTCTTCTTTGTCGCTTTGTTCTCTTTGTGCAATGGAACGTACGGGATGATCGCTGCCCAGGTTTGCTTATAGCTCAAGTGGACCGACAAGTAAACAGTAGCAAACAGGATAATTGTACGAGAGGGGAATCAACAATGAAACGTTCCATATTTGTATCCCTAAAATTCGATCTGGCCCACGCTGAAAACTTAGCTACACTAAGCTAAGCTATATCTGGTAGATTTGGAAGCAACACCTGTTAGATACTCTGCTTGTATTATTATCAGTTTTCTTGAATACTATGTGAAATAATTATTTCCAGGAAAAGGAGAACGATTTCTTTGTGTCACATTGGCAGTGAAGCTGGCTTTGTGCCCACTACCCTATGGGCATTTAAGTCAAAGAAAACGACCGACTACCATGAGGAAATGGACGGGATTTCACTTGAACGATGATTTGAATAAACGCTCCCAAAGCTACACGACAATGCTGTCTTTGTACTTGATAATGCTGCATACCACACTAAAAAACCAGAAAAAAATCCCACAATTTTCACAAGAAAGGCAGAAATTCAACAATGGTTCATATCAAAAAACACTAGTTTCAATAAAAATATGGCCAAAGCATCTCGTCGGGAGCATAAATATAATAATATAATCTTATATTATTGACGAAATGGATAAAAATCAAAATAAGACCGTTTTAAGGCTACAACCTTATCACTGTGAAATAAGTCCCATTAAAATGATTTTGGAAAATATAAAAAACTATGTGGCTTCAAACAATAGATCATTCAAATTTTCTGACGTGAAAAATTTGTTGTGAAAAGATTGCATCAGTCACGTTCAAGAGAAAATCGAAACAAAGATGTGGGATCTGAATGAACTATGAATGAGGTACATGTCATCCCATTGCGATCCCAGTGGTGTCCCAACAAATGTAACTTTTTTTACGGAAACATGATACGCCACTGATTATTTCTAAATAAAATCCTCTCTTACTATATTCTCGTCAGACCTTTTGAACGACAAAATGATAAGTGCTTCTTTTGGCACTGTTGATGAATAATAACTTTTAAAAACAAATCTTGTTACATTTTTTCAAGCCTGCTTTGACACAAATTTGTTGTCACATAGTGCGAATATTTGACGTTCAAAACGCAGTAATTCTTCGACTTTTTAACTTTTACTTACTTTATTTTAACCCATTTTCATCTGAATTACTAAATGTGGTGAATTATACTAACGCGGAAACAATTCTAATTCATTACCGTTAGGTAACCCCTGAAACTTACCTTGTGATTTTCCTACCTGACAGGACTACGTGA